AAACTGGTAGCTAGTGCTGTTGCAGTTACCTTGAGGATCGAGATACTCCCTTATCGAGTGGACTGGTAGAGCTATTTGTCGGCAAAAGCCTCCGACAGACACGGTTCTTTCTTCGACAACGGGAAACCTTGCTCTGCGAATACGAATCTTCTCTTCACGGTTTATATAAGCCCGCGGCTTTCCGACACTTGTTTCATCCCCCATCTGCATCCCTATCCCCACTGCTGTGATACTCCTATAGATTCTCGACCAATCAAATGGATCCATGTTCTACCCTGTCCGAGCTTCCTACCCTCGATTCTCATATATCGTTCCGGCAACCACCAACGAGCGTAACGCGAACTCAACCGCGCACACTACCATCGGCCGATTCACCACGCGCTTTCGACCATTCTCCTCTTCGTTCTCTCATTTTATTTTCTACTCCTTTCCTCTTTTTTTCTTTCTTTCTCCTTTCCTTCCTCCCCTTTTTTCTTTCTTTCTTTCTTTTGGTTTTCAGAGGAAACAAAAGTCACCAGTCGACTACCATCGGTCGATTCACCACGCGCTTTCGACCATTCTCCTCTTCGTTCTCTCATTCTATTTTCTACTCCTTTGCCTCTTTTTTTCTTTCTTTCTCTTTTCCTTTCTCCCCTTCGTTCATTTTCTTTTTTTCTTTTTTTTTTTTTTTTTTTTTGGTTTTCAGAGGAAGCAAAAGTCGAATCTCCTGGGGGTGCAAGCAGCTCCCATGCTCGTGAAAATTTGAGAACATCGGAGAAGGATACTGGCGATGCACCTGTCCAATCCAACATTGTTCTGTATAAAAAGTGAAACAGAATACAAATGTAAGGGGGACGATGAATCGGTGTGCGAGTGTTTTGGAAAGACAACGGGAGAATCAAAGAAAGAAAATACTATCTGGCTGGTCGTTAGTCACGTTTGATCCATCGATAACAACTCCTCGAATGTAGGGTGATACAGCCGAAGCGAGTTTCGTCCATTAAGCTTACCGTTTTATTTCCGTAGCTGTTTGCTATGCGGTTTCGCTATCATAACAGTCATAGAGATCGGTTTGCGAGTGGAGCACATACAAAAATGAAAAAAAAAAAAAAAAGAAAAAGGAAACTACAGAATAAAGCAATAATATTCGCTTATCAAGAAATATGGCAAACACGTTGCTATTGATTGATCTCGCATTACTGATCGATTCGATTAAGATTAAAAAAAAAATTAATCATCGAAGAAAGGAGAGGAAAGCAGTATCCAATGATAGTTATGATTTACGCGGCCTCGCTATGACGACAATTATGAAGATCTTGATTTAAGACGAGTGTGCACAAGGCAAAATAAAAGAAAGGAGAATCTTAAAGCAAAGTATTAATAATAATGTGATAATTATTTATCGAAAAATATATCAAAAGCCTTTTTATATCGACCTTGTATTACTGATCGATCAGTCTAAAGTTAAAGAAATTAGTGACTGGAAGAAAGAGGAAAGAAGTATCAACGATAATGATTATTTTTTGATTGTCATCAGTTTGATTAGTCTGCAGAAACCTTCTTCGTTTCGATTGCAATACATAGTATAGCACGTGATTCTACGTAAAAGTGAGTCGAAAATGTAGAATAAAATTTTCTCATACGACGTATCTTCTTTTAAAAAAGAATCGAGTTTAAAGATTTGTCAAGTATTGAATTAAGTTAATTTTGAATTGAAAACAGGAATTGAATAAAGTGAATAAAGCCGGCAAAAGCAAATTATTTTACGCGAGCAATTAAGCAAAATGTGTGGTATACAATTTTTTCACAAAACTTCTTCCTTGCTTCCAGAAAAATTCAACTATCAAATACACGCGTAGCAAAGTAACTTTTCTTTGTTCAAAACATCCAAACAATTTTTTTTTCTTGTTTAATTAAAAAATTGTATTTCACATCCTTATATTTCTGCACGTGAAATATCCTCATGTTGGCTATTCACTTTTGACATTCAAATTCAAAACACATCTGATTTCTCATTTTCGAACTTGATTTTCTCGAAAAATTTATTAAATGGAAGAATGTGATTCTTTGCTTCCGACGTATTTCTCTATATAAAATCGTCTAGTATCCGATTTTTATACAACAAATATATCAATTACAAATACAAGTTTAAATGGCAGAAAGAACGCGCGACTCGGTCCTTGGATCGAGTTAATGAAGAAGTGGCTGTTGCAATTCATCCTATCGTAATCAGTTTCTCTCGCGTCAATGTGCAAGGATAAAAAGCGAAAACATTTACATATCGAGTCGTTTTTCTGCACTCGTGTCTTCTTTCCCTTCTTTCCTTTTCTATTTCCTTGATGTTTTTTTATTTACAGGGATTCAAGAATAATCTTGTTATCATTTATTATAGCGTTTATAACTTGTCCCTTTCACAGGGCGCCGTTTACTATTGTCGGTCGGCATGCAAATCATCCAATAGTCCATTTTAATAATGTCCCTGAAATGGTGGTGCTTACTCGAAACAAATGATCGTTGCCAGCGTATCGTATTATATGTAGAAAAGACTGAGTGAACTGCGTATATAAGAACAGTGGCGTGCACGTTTTGCGAGAAACGTGGCAAATTACCCAGAATATTGAAACTTCAGAAATTCTTTATTTTTAGAAACGAGCAATCTAATAAAGGGCAGGGGAGAAATTTTGTTCGCTCGCGAAACTAAACTCTTTTGATAACGCCCAATTGCGTAAACTGATTCTCAATAGTAGACAGATCATTCAGAATATTGAATTTTCTTCAATCTTGGGAATTTGTTGTTTTTTCGAGATCCGTCGAGGAAGAAATCGCTAAATTAAACTTTTAACACTGAAACAACCAGAATGGTCAAAACGAACAATACATAATTTTTCATAGACAACAGCGCGTTTTTCTTGTATGATTTTCAATTCTCTAGAATATACAGGTTGTCCTGTAATTTCGCATTCTTTTAATAATCACGTTCCGAGATTATTAAAATATCACGTAGCGAAAAATTTCTAAATGCTGACAAATGTGATAAAATACGCCGATATTCTTTTTTTTCTTACTTCGAAGATACATGATATTCGTGGCACGTTTATACTTTCCATTCTACACTTGTACTTTTAAATTCCTATTTACGAAGGACTGTGAATGCAAGAATTTGCACAACATGAAATGAATTCATTACAAGAATTAAAGCCGCATACGAAGAAATTCGACGAAGTCAATGTGAAATTCAGTCCACAATAAATTCAATAGCAGTTCAATATCAAGTTTGCATTGATGAATGGAAGCGTTACTTCGATACACACATAAATACGTGCAGCTTTACGTTTCATCTGCCAAATTTATGATTATGATGGTACTCTCACATAGTTGTAACAAATATATGAAACGTAAAACTGTGCATAATACTTACGTACAATGTTATGTTTAAACAAGCATGTACACGTACAACTCTTTAATGAAACATTTATGGAAACCTTTTATGCTACGTGATATTTTAGTGTTATTTTTGTAGGACACCATGGCAAAAGTGGAGAATATCCTGTACAAATAAGAGCTTGTGCTCTTTACAGTGTTACGTACTTTTTCGTATTTCTTGTGCTTGAATCCTTCTGATGCAATTCTTACGCTTCAGTCGTCGATAGTTCTAGTGTTAATTACCCTAGATTACGTAAATTGATTGCAACGTGATGGTGTCTGCGTGACTGTATCAATAGACGCGATAGTTCATTCAGAATATTGAACCTCTAGGAATTCTATATCTATCCGGGAAACGGCAAGCTAATGAAAAGCAGAAGCGGGCAAGTTGAGTAAATAACAGGAGAAGAAAAAGAGATATAATGAGGCGGAGGTAGGGAGAAATCTCGTTCGTTCGCGAAAGTAACTTTTTAATCACTTCCGATTGCGTAAATTGATTTCAATGGTGGCCCCCGCGACCGTGTCGGTTTTCTTTTGGAGAATCGATCGATTTATTGATTATCAATTTGTTCGTTGACGATCCAATAAAGGGAAGAAGGATCGAGGCCGGAAAGCAAACAAACGAAGAAAGAAGGAAAGAAATAAACGAGGAAATAAGAAATTGGAAGAGATTCCCAACGTTCTTCTTTCTCTCTCTCCCTCCACTTTCTTCTTCTTCTTCTTCTTCTTTTTTTTTCTTTCCTTTTTACTCTCTCCATTAGACACATCTCGTCTCGAGGGATTTGCACTTCTCGCGCGAATCAAAACAGATCGTAGAGAACGATATCGTCAGTCGTTAAAACGAAATAACTCTCCCGATTTTATGGGATATTTGTCCAGACATAAACTAGAAATCAATTCGGAGTGTGCTCACTCGCTTTCATCTCAATGTTCGAAACAACGGTTTCAGAAGAAAGTTCACCGTGAAGTGGAGCATGTTGCGAAAATTGTTTCGAACACCACGACGTAACAAATTTTGTAAGTGAGAATTCTTTTCTTTCTCTCTGTGAGAAGAAGAAGAAGAAGGAGAAGAAGAACTGGATCTTTCTTCCACGGTTATTTTCAATTCAGCACAGTTTTACGTTCTCGATAGAGTTACCTCGGCTGATTGTTTCCCCCAGTTTGCTCGGCGTATCACGTCTCTCGTGTGGTTCCCAACGATTGATCGAGATAGAGACGATTTGGCGCCATGGCGTGTATATATGTATATATATATGTGTATATATATACGTGCAAGCATGTATGTTTAATAAGACGACAGAAACAGCTGTTGTAGCTGCAGTAAGAATAATAGAAATATCCTAGCCAGTATCTCGCACATCGTTCGTTCGTTTCGCACGAAACGTTTCATTATGTTCTGAGTTCACACCATAGCTCGCGACGTTTCTGCGAACATTTCTGCATGCAGCGAACTGGACAACGCGAACAATGTTCACTCACAGAGGATCTATTCGCACCTGTAATTATTCGCAATTCGTTATTCGTTTAAGCTCTAATATGGAAAATCCGTGAGCTGTTCGAGAGCAGTTCGCGAAGAACGAGTTCTGTCCAGCGCGGAGCCAGCAACATCAGGGGATAAACGATTCACGAGACGGTACGATTTAATCCGTTTCCTCATTCCCCTGTGAAATCGAGCACTCGCGAAATCAGGAAACTCGTACATATTCTCGTATGCGAAGCAACATCCAGTTCCAGCTGTATTTTCGAAATGATTCTCTCTCTCTCTCTCCAGGGAACGAAGGGTCGAATTTAACGACTTTTCAAGGATCAAATCCTATCGAGAGGAAGCCAGTCAGATGGCGAAGTTAGGTGAGTTATTCACGAGC